AATCAATTCCCAATCCACAGCAGGGCTGCCTGCACCAAAAAGAGGAAGGCTGATTCCCACCTTCAGAGACTATAAATCAACACATGAACAATTCTCTAGAAGTCCCAGACATGAGATCAATGCCGCTCTTGCCAAACCTCCAATCAAGAGAGGGCTGCAGGACGCTAAAGATGCCAAAGCCAGTCTTCAGGGCAACAGGGGAGGACCTGTGACAGGACCCCAATATGCAGACCTCGTCAAGCAACTACTCGGTGGTCAAGAAGGACACTAGAATCAAGGCTGGCAATTAATTTACCAAAACCCAAAAAATACCTAATTTCTTAGTCGGCAGCAAGCTGATGTGTGTGTGCATCTTTCCCCACTGACTGCACTCAGTGCCGGAGCAGTCACTCCATAAAAGGATAGTGCATTAACTGACTCTACATAAGGAGAAGGACTGGTGCGGGAAAAGGCAGCATTAGCACACACACAATCCACAAAGAACCCCAACTGTCAAGAAATTTCCCGGGGGGAAACACCCGATCTTTCATTAAGTTTCTGATAACATGATGTAACAGTCTCAAGCACTTGAGAATAAAACCCAGGCTATGCTTCATAGGAAAGAAGAAAACATCCCATTTCACAGGAAAACCTATACCAAGCTTTCCTTTGCCCTGTGTCCCAAAGATTTCATGTGGCAGCAACGAAGGGCTGAGTACCTGAGAATTTCATTTTTAAAGCTAATACAAAGCATGTTTTGGTTTCTGCACTTTCATTGGGGAGGGGGGTATGAGATTACATATTTCTTCAGCTTCCTGTGGTTGGCATGGCCAGTACCCCGTCCCTACGCCTGGGCAAGTACGTATGGCACTGAGTGGCAGGAGGGAGGCCAGAGGGGTGTTTCTGGACTCCAGGGATCCTCCCTGTTGAGCACTCTGCTTCAGTTCAAAGCTCAGGGTTCTCCAAGAAGTCTAGCCAGTTCTGGCCACCCTACCACAGCCCTGTCTAGGGAACCTCGGGTTACAGGCCCAGCAGAGAGACCAGGAAAGCTAAAAATGAAGAGGGAAAGACAGCTTTGAGGAAAGAAGAGAGGCGAGTTCACAAGGACGAGGGAGCGAAGTCCGTGACTAGTAAAGATGCAGATGGCTTTTCTTCCGTGGCTTGAAAAATGTCTTTGGAGGCAGTTCCACAAGGAGAATTTAAAAAACATACTGAGTAATAGCAGCGTCACCCCAGTGAGTGCGTGACTTTCCACAGGTACTGTTCGAGAAGATAATTGTTCAATTCTGTGAGTACTATAGATTTGTTTTTAAAAGCACTGCTTTAGAGTTTTATTCTAAATATACTGTAAAAGTACTGTGTAAGCAATGGTTATAACCAGTGAGTAGACAAAAAAGTTGTAGGATGTGTGTTGGAACCGAAACACTTTTCTCGGTTGAGGAACAAAGTCAGCACTCATCACCATTAGAAACTGGAAGCTGGTAACATAACCAGAGCATTTGGTAAAGAATCAGACCCTTACAGAATCAGTGCCAATCAATGGAGTGTGTTATTTCAAAGAAGGCCTGCCTCCTAGGATATCTGGGTGTGTGATGCAGAAGAGTAACTCTGGTGGTATATAGTGCTTGATTTTCTGTGCTAACTGAAGGATCATCAGTTCAAATCCACTCGCAGCATCAAGAGTGAAGGCTGAGCAGTTTCTTCCCATAAAAATATAAGGCCTCGGAAACTCAATAAGTTGGAATGAACTTGACAGCAGTGAGCTCGGTCGGGTTTTTAGAAGCGGAATGAATGGCTTATCGTATTTCTGCAGAAAGCCAGCACAGTATAAGGGAAAGGAAACAACTGTTTTCATTCAACAGCATTCACACCCTCTACAAATGATTTAATTTTGCTGACACTGTTTCCTTACCTAAATGTCTAATGAAGTGGTTTAAAAAGAGAAAGCAGTAAATACCCGTTTCTCTATAGGGTTTTTCTTTCCTTTGAAGTCTGAGGATTGTAACTCAAGGTGAGGTTAGGAAATCAACTTAGTGGCTTTCAGTCAGAGTAGTTAAAGAACTGAGGGAGAATGAAAAACATCATGATGGACTGTCTGTAATAAGGGTGTGCTTACTCTACCCAAATGAGTTTTATATAAATTTTAAGTTATTAATCCAAGTGTTCTTTACTTTTCAACATACTGTAGTAAAAATGGAATCTGATACTGTGGGACATGACATTCAAATTTAAAATTTGAGTTGTATTGACTAATTTATATTTCTAAATACTACTTTATGTCATTTATAACTTACTAAGTACTTCTAGCAATTTCTACAAAAATTAATTATTAGGTATTCTGACAGAGAACTCAACAACTCAACTCCTGGCCGTCAAGTTGGAATGGACCCACAGCTGACGCATCAGCAGGTTGTGAGAGGCTATAAACCACATGGGAGGAGACTGCTCATCTTTCTCCCTCAGAGCTGCTGGTGGCCTTGGGTACCAGAAAGGCTCTGCTTCAGAATTAGCGGCACATCTCCTGATGGACCACACCACCAGAGCTCCTTATGACAAGAGAAAGCAGGTAGAATTTCTAAATCATTTGAAATTACAAAACATTTTTTTTTCAAGTACTATAATGTGCTTAAGTGAAGGCAGCTGGCATCACACTCCTGCTCTGAGGAGGAGCAAAAATTAAAAAAGAACGTGCAGCGGTGTCCCACCCTGGCTCAGTAAAAATGAGAACCAAGTAAGAGGCGATTTCATTCCAGGCCTCCTCTCTCCCTCACTACCTGAGGTAAAATCATTCTGGCATTGTAAGGATGGTGTTACCAAGACAGTGGAGTCTAAGCAGGGCTGACTGTGGCGACCAAGACTGGGCTATACTGAGGAGAATAATACTGGAAATTACAGAACTACATGATACAACAGAGTCCTGCTGTAAATTTCTAATATTCGTGAACCAGATTTAGCTGGCTACATCTCAGAGTAGTTTGTGGGGCTAAGGGTGAGGTTTCTTGTTTTAAACCAGTGCCCTGCAGGATTCTGATGCTCATGTGGGTTTGGGCACCTTGTGCTAAATGGACAGCAGAGATCAAAATTATTATTATCTTTTTTTTAAAAAAAGGGAGGAGAGGATTCAAAAGTAATTATTCTAACTTTACAGGTACTCAAAATCAAACTCTGGGTTAGAATATGATATTTAGTCAAACGATTTCCTTCCTGGAAGGAAAAGATACTAGTTAGCAGACAGCAATACTTGACGCTGTGTAATTATTTAATGAGAGGCAGAAATAGCACTCCCCCACCACCACCACCACGACTCAGATTCATTGGTGAAACTTTAAAAGTGTTGTTTTTATGTGCCGTCGAGTCACCTGCGACTCATAGCGACCCTATGTACAACAGCCCTAAACTCTGCTCTGTCCTGTGCCAATCGCACAGTCTCTGACACTTTAAAAGTAGGAAAGAGAAAGGTCTCTTTGGATTTGGCACAGAAATAAAAGGTAGCAATCAATCAATCTTATTAAAAATAAACTCAGCAAGGCAAATGTTAAGTGGGAAACCAGCCCTGTGGAAGCTGTGTGGGTCCCCGGCAGAGACAGCTCATGCTTCTTGGGGTTCTGCAGGTGCTCATTCCTCTGTCCTTAGAACGGGGGGTGGAGGCGAAGAGGAAGGCCACACGTGCCTCTTTCCTAATTCAAATAAGTTGGGGATGGTGGTGAGGGACAGACGGAGAGGCTGTCTACAGCCTTAAATTTTATTCTCTAGGTTTAAAACCTTTCAACTGTTGGAGACAAGACATTCGGTTGGGCTGAGCCACAGTTGCTGTGGATGACAAGTGTTGAGATTAGCACCACAGATCCTTCAACAGGACTGAGCCCCTCCTCATCTTGAATGTAAGAGGTGGGGATGTGAGAAAGAATGCCGTCCCTGCGAAGGAAGGGCAGCTGAGGAAAGAACAGTCATAGAGACAGAAAGCTAGTTCTTCGTGTCCCCAAAGACCAACTGAAACCATTGAAGACATCTTGGGGAAAGGTACGGCATTCCCATGAAACTGGAAGATGCCCCAGAAAATAGTCACATGCTTCTCTTCTGCTCATTTTAAGTCCTGGATCTAATAATATTGGATAGATCTGAGGAATAATCCCACACACACCTAGGGTTTACTGAGAAGCATAGACAGAAATGGGAGACAGCATGGAAAAGTAGATTTCAAGGAAAAGTCTTCACGACGCAAGGGGAGAATTCACCAAACCAAAGACCTTTCCAGAATGACAAGAGAAGGCAAAGAACTCTAGAACTCTGAGAATGTGGAGACTGGATGACAGAAAGACCTTGCCTCCTGGCTTAATAAATCTCCTACTTCTTGATAGTCTGCGATTTTTATTTAAAGAGCCCCGGAAGAACGGTTCAGAGAGGAAGCCGATGTCACAAATGAAAACACTTGCAAGAGCAACTGGGTTTCTCTGTTCTCTTTCACTATTCATTTCCTTAACCAGAAAACTGGGGGGTTTCACAAATACAACAGGTTTCACCAACTGGATCCATTATCAAGTTCACCTGTCCTCCCTATGCTAGCTATACTGATCTACCTGATAAGGCTCTTATCAATCTCTTCTGGTCTTGAAAATAGGGCAAAATAATCTACAAATAGGTCTGACCTTAGAGACTCTGAATTAGTGTTATAGAAGAAACAGCGATTATGGAAGAAATTATTCTTCCATTCCAACACATTTCAAATCCCCATCAGAATGAGAAGTTCTGTTTTCACATGTGCAGGAAGAAATGATGCTCCTTGGCAGTTCTGAATCTGTATCTGACAGACATTATACATCCTCAGTCCCAGCTCTTCAATCTCAACTTCTCCAGTAATACCCCAGCAAACACCAAAATAGACCCACTTAGCACACAGTTTAATCATCTACGGTCCCTCTCTTGATATACTTGTGTTTTAAAAGTTGACCGAGTGTCCGCAGCAGCAGCCAGGACCATCACTGGATAGGTGCGTTGGTGCCAACAATACTGAAGTCTGATTTTTAACTGCATTTCTTGTCACTTTGGCTGGGAAGATCCGGGCAGCTGGAAGTGAGCTTCTCCATCATTTTCTGTTTCCTTCTTTGTATCAATTTTCCACCTGTGAAGCCCAACACCCCACCACCAAGTGCAGCTGCAATTCCTGCGACTTTGAAGCCTGCAAGGAGGCCAATCGGACCCCCTACCACTCCTCCGATGAGTGCACCTGCCACAGGCAGAGCTGCCAGCTTGTACTTTGCAGCCTGTAAAAAAAAAAGGAAAAAAGAAAAAAAATTCAATTTAGAAATTGAGTTGAGAATATCTGCCTGTGGTGATGTGCATTTTCCTCTCATTACTCCTGGCAATGCCTCTTTAACTCTTGGTGCATAATTAACCTCAGAGATTGTACTTGTGGAACAGGGAAAGAAAGCATTCCACAGGTACTGCTTGAGAGCTCAGAACATAAGAGGAATAAGCTAGACAGTGGACAGCTATGCATCGATTTCACTGGCAAAACAATCAATCCACTAACTATCTAGCTGCCTTATTTAAACCGTTTCAGCAGCCACAGATTTCCCCTCCGAGCTTTTATGCTCCAGAGATTATTCAGTGGCTACATACCCGGGGTTAAAAGCAACAGTCTGTGCAAAATAGACCCCACACATGCTGCCGTGTCCTTACACATCTGCCCCAACTGGATTATTGCAAAACTCCTCTCCCCAAATCTCTGAGAATATTCACGTGCAGCCCTGAATGCCTTCTAATAGGGAGTCAGTTTACTGTTTTGATAACATTTCTCTCTTGACAGGATGATTGCTGGAGCAGAATATTACAGCCACCATTGATTTCCTGCACTAGCTATGTGTCATTTCTTGCTTATTTCCTTAATTGCTGGTTCCCTCAACATTAAAGAGAGCAGATCAATTGGGTTAATACTAGAGATTCCTGGGAGCCAGAGTACCATTGATTTGTCAGCAGGAGCAGAATCTTACCTTCCCCAAGTTTTTGGTTCCCTCTTCAACATTCACAGCAGCACTGTTGACATGGTCTTCAATGCTGTCAATCTTCTCCTGCTGAGACTAGATGCAAAGGAATTATGAGTGAGCGCTCCTGCTGAGGAGCGGTGGTAAGCCAATACACACTATTTAATTCCTGTAATCAGGCCTGGAGCACTGTGGCCTTGCTGTCTTAATAGGGGTTCATTAATGGCATCTTGATAAACCAGGTCAAAAGTACAAATTCACTTTTATGACCAAAAAAAAAAAGAGAGAGAGAGGAGGACTTAATTATCAGGTAATAAAAAGAGTGATACTGTAACAGCAAAAAGCATCTGAGACTAAAATTCATTCACACATACAAACATATTCCCCAAACAAATCTACTGTTCAGAAGGGGAGGTAATGTTTACACATCATGATAGGCTTGATGGAAAAACAAAACCAAAAAACCATAACTGATCTGCTTTGAAGACTGGGTTCAAAACAAGTACATTTACCATAGGAGTAATACGTCTTTGATCAAATAAGTGCAAATTGTTATGTGTCAGAAGACAGCACGGTCTGATCCTCCTTGAGATCATTCCACCTGGAGACAGGCAAGAGCACTGGCCTGGGTTTTACACCTGACACTTTAATATATTTTAAAATCATGACCAAGTGAATGTCTCAGATAGAACATCGTAGTAAAGGACCTACATAAAGCGGCAGCAACTTCACTGGCACCACGGAAGGGGGGCCTCTAGATCCTCTCATAGGAGTGTCTACGTCATTAAGCGAAAGCCTCCACTTGGACTCACGACACCACCACCCCTACTACGTTCCTGACACCTGGTCCCTGAGCTTTGGCTCACCCACCCCAGTGATGGATGCTCATTACGCCCACAGAAGCACAGCTCTGAGTTTATACACATCCACTTTGAAGTGTGCAGTATGATTCCCCTCAATAACAAAAGTTAGGTCAAGTCCAAGTCACAGCATGATAAATGCAGACATATGTATGTATGAATGCATGTCATCACCATCACAGGAGTCCTGGTGGCACGGTGGTTAAAATGCTCACCAGCTTAAACCCACCAGCAACTCTGCAATCTGCCCTTAAATAACTGGCACATGAAGTTATTTGAAGTGACTATGATGAGGTGCCTTGGCGGCATGATGGTCAAAACACCTGGCCACTAACCAAAAGGACAGTGGCTCCAACATCCCCACTTCATCTGAGAACAAAACAGCTGCGTCAGGCCATTACCCGTGCACGTCCCCGACCTTGTAAGCTAAGCAGGTCAGGAAGGGTTAGTACTTGGATGGCAGAAGAAAATAGGCAATTGTCTAAGGGAAAGCAAGGAGCCTTGGTGGCACAGTGGTTAAAGAATGTGGCTATTAACCAAAAGGCTGGGTGTTTGAACCCACTAGTTGCTTCATGGAAGAAAGATAAGACAGTCTATTTATGTAAAAATATACAGTCTTTTTTTTTTAAATTTTTTTAATTTATTTTATTATTTTTGTGTGAGTGTACCGTCAAATCAGATCTGACTGGTACAGGAGGAGATTGCCCCTCCTTCCCCAGCAGAGAATCTGGTGGATTTGAACCGTGCACCTCTGGGATTATAGTTGCAGCTCCTTGCCACTAGGCCACCAGAGCTCCCCAAAATATACACTCTTAAAAAAAACCATCTGGGCAATTCTACTGTGTTCTACAGGGTTGCTATAAGTCAAAATCTTTTTCAATGGGGTGGGGGTTGGGGCTGTTAAAGAAAAAATACTACAATTTCTTTAAATCCTTGAGAATACACTCGGAATACAGAAATGGCAATAATCTTGGTAGACTCCTTCTTGCTGCAATTATTTTGGATTGAGTCCTTCTTGTAACCCCTCAACTTGTCAAGATCAAGAGGCTGATAGTTTTAGACTTGTGATTGATTCTGGTACTACAGAAAGTGTTGAGTAATAGTAACAATAGTAACAATGATAACGTAATCCAGACAAGTTTAATTTCTAGCTGATCTTTGTTGTTGTTGTTGTTGTTATGCGCTGTCGAGACAACTAAGACTCATAGTGACGATATGAACAACAGCTCTGACCCCTACCATACCTTGAGCCAATCTCACTGTCTCTGACACATCTGTCCCCATTGCCACAGTCTCTGTGTCAGTACAGCACACGCAAAGTCTTCTGCTCTCAAGCTGACCCTCTACGCTTCCAAGCATGATGTCCCCTAAAGCAACAGTGCCAAAGTATTAGATGGTGTTTCAAAATCCTTGCCTCTAAGAAGCAACCTGCTTTCAACCTCTCAAGGACAGACTTGTTTGTTCTCTTAGCAGTCGATGGTCTGTTCAATAATCTTCTCTAGCACCACAACTCAAAGGCACTGATTCTTCTTCTGTCATCCTTAGTCATCCTTGTCCAACTCTCAGATGCACAGCAAGTAACTGAGAAGATCATGGCTTGGATCAGGTGCACCTTAGTCTCTAGACTGACATTACTCCTTAACACTATAGAGAGGTCCCTGACAGCAGATTTTCCCAATGTAATTTGTCTTCTGCTTTTCTGATTGCTGGTGCCAAGTGTGTTGATTGTAGACCCAAGCAAGCTGAAATTGTTAATAACCTCAATCTCTTCTCCATCTGCCATGATGTTGCCAATTGGTACAGTGGTAAGAATCTTTTGTTTTCTTGATGTTGAGACGCAATCCATGTTGAAGACTGCAGTCCTTGACCTTCTGCAGCAAACGATTTAAGTCCTCCTCAGTTTCAGTGAGCAAAGTTGTATCATCTATATAATTTAGGCTGTTGATGAGTCTTCTTCCAATCCTGATACCACATTCTTCTTCGTAAAGCCCAATTTCCTGAGTGATCTGTTCTGCATACAGCTTGAAAAGGTATGGAGAAAGATTTCTTGATTTTGAACCATTAAGTGTTTCCTTGCTTGGTTCATATGACTGCTTCTTGGTCTAAGGATATATAGGTTTTGCATGAGCACAATCAAATGTTCTGCGATTCCCATTCTTTTCAATATTAGCCACAGGTTGTGATTCACAGTCAAATGCTTTTTCATCATCAATAAAACACAAATAGACATTCTTCTGGTACTCTCTGCTTTCAGTCAAGATCCATCAGACATTGGCAATGATATCCCTAGTGCCACAGCCTCTTCTAAACCCAGCTTGATTTCTTGCAGTTCTCTGTTAATATACTGTTTCAGTAATTTTTTTTATAATCTTCAGCAAGATTTTGCTTGTGTGTTATATTAGTGATATTGTTCAATAATTTCTACGTGCTGTTGCATCACCTATCTTGGAATAGGAATAAATACAGATCTCTTCAAGGTAATTGACCAAAGGTGAAGGACACGTCCTTTGGATTTCTTGGCACAACCTCAAACTTCCTACCTGATATTTATTTTATACTCTGGCATCCCTAATGTTCTCAGTATTCTCTTAACAGTATGTTAAAGAAAGACATTGTAGTATTTCTTGAACTAGGAAAATATATAAAATATTTTAATAGGAAAAAATTATCAAAAGACTTCTTAAGAACATATCTACAGATTTCTTTTTAATAAATAGAGAACTAGTTTGCCTTGTTGGTCTGAAAGACAATGATTGAATATAGGATCAACTGTGGATTTCAAAAAGGATGTAATTCAACAATACTTGCCAAGCAGAGAGCAGTATGGACAGCTGAACTAAAAACTAATGAGGCACTGCATTCCCTCTGAATGCCTGTTGTGTATACACCAAGCAACAATAATACACTCAAGGAATGCATCCTTAAATCCATTTGCATCACTACAATAATCATATGCTGTTGGGTTGGTTGCATACCTCCTTACCATTAGGCCAGCAGAGCTCCTCAGCTGCACCTTAGTCTTTAAATTAATGTCCTTGCCCTTTAGCACTTTGGAGGGGTCCTTGACAGTAAATTTTCCTAATGGAATGTGTCTCCAGATTTCTTTACTGTTGCTGTTAGGTAATAGGCTCATTTAATTATCAAATTAAATGAATTATTAAATACCCTCATTTAGCTCTCCCAACAATTTTAAGAGGCTCAATATTATCAAATAATATACCGGGGTCATACAGATCAAATAAAGGAGTCTAATCTGATTCTATTACAACCCCATTTTCATGCATCCATGGTAAACTTGATTACAGAAGAGAGTAAGGCAGGGAGCTCTGGTGGCCTAGAGGCAAGAAGCTGTGCTGCAATCCCGAAAGCATGTGCTTCGAATCCATCAGGTGCTCTGCTGGAGAAGGAGGGGCAATCTCCTCTTGTGCCAGTCGGATGCTATTCAATGGTATACAACAATGAAATAAATAAAAAAAAAATTTAAAAGAGTAAGACAAGAGGGAGAAAAAGAGTCTTTGGTAAGAGTTGCCCAGGATTCTTTAAATTCCCCTTAATGAGATATAGGGCTGGCACTAAAATGAAGAGGGCACCTGAATCATCAAACGTAAAGAAAAATGGAGCCATGTACACAGTATATATCATTTCACTAACATTTCTTGGACTACATCCTGACTGGTCAATAGCTTTTCAGGTTCTCTTTTCTTACACTTGGCCTTTAACTGAGCTTAGCACACTGTTATGTACATTGATAGTGGGCTATCAGATACATGGCTAATTTGCCAAACACGATCATGTCCATGTGATGCTAAGGAGAGGATGTGGTCACTCTGATTATATTCCCAGTCATTCTACGTCTAAAAGGAGCTTCTGTGAGTCTCTGGCCATGTGGTCATGAGAACTCAGTCACTCTGGGAATAATAATCAACGGTTCTCTTCTGAGCTCTGCCTGACAGCATCCTTTCTCATGTCCTTACCCAGATTATTATAAATAAGACACTTGTATAGAGCTAAAGTTATACAATAGAACGTTCCTGCAGAAATCTTCCTCAGATGAGAAGTTAATAGGAACTGTCTAGGTGATCCAGTCAGGCTTAGAACTATTAAACAGTCTCAGAAACTTTCATTTCCTTTCAAGTGCCTATCCTCAATAGAAGGGAAGTGAATTTGTATTAGATGAAAGAACTTGACGTGTGTTTGTTTTTAAAATAAACTTGTTAGGTGCTACCTCATGGTCTCAGATTCATGACGGCCCTGCACACAACAGAAGGGAACACTGTCGAACCCGGTGTCATGCTCCCAATCTTTCTGTGTGTTAGCCCACTTATTTACATGTACATACTTAGAGATCCTATCTCCCTGGAGCTCCCAGTAAGCAAAAAAGAAAATCCATTAGAAAAAGCATTATATAATAATAGTAGTTATTATTATTATTTAAATAATATTTTCTCTTTCTACGTCTCTAGTCTATGTTACTAGTGTCACTAGCTAACCAGGTGTGTAGAATAAAGCCTTGTCTTCCACTCTGCTGTTTTCTTGGAGTGATGACTTTCAACTAAGTCTACCCCCAAAATGCCTCTAAATGACTCTCTACCTTTCTACCAGTCCTGCTACTGCCCTGGGTAAGACACCTGCAGTTAGTTCTTAAATCTGTCGTCCTCTTGGTAGAAGGAGTTGATGATCTTTCCCCTTCCCTAGGCCATTAGCTATGGTGGGAACAGTGATCCTTCCACAGGAGAGACTGTTTCTTTCACCCTAACCTGCTTGAAACACTACACTGATTCCCTAATGCCCACACGATCCAATCCTTTCCTATGGCTTTCAATGACAACACAACCATTGGGAAGTACTTTATGCTTTGCTTACACTGAAGCACCAATCCCTCCTGAACAGGTCATGTGTGTCTTTACTCCATGGATTTGTTCACTTGCTCTAACATGTACCCCTCAACACTACTCACAGACATTCTGATGATTTTTAAGGCTCCTTCAGATAACCCCTACCCAGGTGAATGAAGCTCTAACTCAATGCTCATCTGCCTGTCCCCTTGCTAAAAAGTCAGTGCTTCCTTAGAGCAGATAATAAATCTCTTTCTACCTCTTTTTTTTTTTAATTATTTAACAACCATGCTTACAATTTCAGTTTTTGGAGTCCAAGCTTATTTGTACCCAAGAATCCTTGAAAGCAAACAGAAGACTTAATTTATCTTTACACCCAACTTTGTCAGATCCCAAAGCCAAGCATCTTACATGGTGCCTCATGACACATTGCAAACACTCCACTAATGTTCATCGAATCAATCTGAAATTTGAGGGCAGTTAAGATTTCTGTGCATGGCTCAGTCCAAATCTTAAAAACTGTAACTTATAGTTAAAATTCTAATAGAAACCTAGTTATTGATAACCCCCCCCTTCTCATTCTAATGTTCTAACCAACTCTGAGCCCAAAATAGTTGTATACTCACATTCACTAGTACAGAGAATTCAGTGATGAGTTGGCTAAGTTCAACTAAGTCCTTAAAGAGAAGAGAGAGAGAAAGTTACTTTTCATGCCTCACAGTTACCAAAAGTAAAGTCATTTTTAACGTACCGCTTCTAAGGTTTCCCATGATTCTGCAGCATTTTCATCGCGAGGAATTTCAGGCAGCGCGTATAGCTGAGTCAAACTCTGAGGACTAGCTTCAGCTTCAGCTTCAGCTTCAGCACTGGGAAATGTTTCTGGATGAACACAGCCCCAGGTTTAGTTTAGTTGCTTAGTTCGAAAGGAGATAGCATGAATCAAGTCCATAAACTAGTGTCCATGTAAAATGCTTATTAATGGAATTCAGGCTCCTTCAGACGCTACTTAGCCATGTGAAGATCCACTTAATGCTTTCACCTCGTAACCTCTGCCTCCCCCCCTCGCTTGGAAGTTAAGGCTAAAAGGGAGTTGACTCTTTTAAAAAAATTGTGTATTCACAGCAGCTTATCCCCAGCTTACAAAAGTTTGGCTTTTTTTTTTTTAAATTATTGTAAAAGGTCATAAAAAATGGCTCGAAGTGCTACTAACTATCTAATCTGACTGATGGGGACAATATGTAGAAGAAGCATCAAACTGTTCTACTAAGACAATGTTCTAGGGATATATCTAACGATAGAATACTTCTATATTATATATAGAAGATATAATAGGGAGCTCTCATGGGCTAGTGACAAGAAGCTGCACTGCAATCCCAAAGGCACACAGTTCGAGGCCACCAGCTGCTCCGCGGGAGAAGGATGGGCAATCTCCTCCTGTGCTATTAGTGCCTATGAAAACCTTTTGGAAGGTCAGCTATGGGTCAGTTCCAACTTATGATATAAACAACAACAACAGAAGATATAATACTTTTATATTTAATACTTATCATCATTAAACCCTTAATCTTCTCATTGGTGATTTCTAGAACAAATATTGGATTTACAACATTTTAAGAGCAGGGAGTGTTCATATTTTAATATATAAAAATCAGCGATAAAGGGTAACAATAAATTTGTCACCAAATACCCTCATCACATGTGTTTTTGCTACATATTGTCACCCTTCTTGTCCTTAGAATCATTATTCTGGCTCATATAGTCATGGCTTTTTCTTTTTCTAAGTTTAAAAGTTATCAGCTAATTAGGATTATTTCTTCATTAATTAAAAGCAAGGTTGGTGAGACTTCATTTCATATATTCTGGGCACATTAACGGGGGACCCAGTCCTTGGAAAAGGACTTCATGCTTGGAAAAGCAGAGGGACAATAAAGAAGACCTTCAATGAGATGGATTAACACAATGGCTACAGCAATGGCTTAAGCACACCAGAGATTGTGAGGATGACACGGGATCGTGCACAGTTTTGTTGCGTTGTACAGGGAGGTGGTCACTGAGTCAGAGCAGGCTCAGCAGCATCGAGTACAACTCATAGTGACCCTATGAACAAAAGATCTGAACCCTGTTCTATCCTGTGCCATCCTCACACTTCCCGACACACAAGAGCCCATTGCAGTAGTCACCAGGTCAGTTAACCTGGTTGACGGTCTTCCTCTCCACCAACCCTCCACCCTTCCCAGCATCATGTCCTTTTCCAAGGAATAGCCCCTCCTAGCCACATGTTCAAAGTATGTGAGGTGAAGCCTCATCATTCTTGCCTCCAGAGAGCACTCTGACTGCACCCTCTCTCAAGACATATTCTTTTGATATCTTGGCTGTCCACAGATGTTCAGTGCTCTTCTCCAACTTAATTTATTTCTACATCCAACCCTGTGACATCCCCAAAGCCAAGCATCTTACACAGTGCCTCATGACACACAGCAAGCGCTCCACAAATGTTCATCGAATCTTATCTGAAATTTGAAGGCAGTTAAGATTTCTGGGCATGGTTCAGTCCAAATCTTAAAAATTGTAACTTATAGTTAAAATTCTAATAAAAACCACAGCTCAAAGGCATCAGTTCTTCTCTTGTCATCCTTATTCACTGTCCAGTGCTTAGATACATAGCAAGTGATCGAAAGATTATGGCCTGAATTAGACACACCTTAGTCCTCAAAGTGACATCATTACTCCTCAATAATTTGGAGAGGTTCCTAACTGCAGATTTTCCCAGTGCAGTACACATCCTTATTTCCTGACTGCTGGTACCAAGAATGGTGATTGTGGATCGAAGCAAGATGAAGCCGTTGACGGTTTCAATCTCCTTTCTGTCCATAATGATGCTGCGTATTGGCAGCATCTAATAACAGTGATAAATTCATACACATGCCAAACTCCAACTCCAAATCTTTCTTATTTCTTCATATTTGTCTTACTAGTTACTCATTCACTCAACTCATAATATATTTGTATAAACATGTATCAATATGGCTCAGAGTAAATGCCAATCTGATACAGGAGATATAAAAGGAACCATAAAAACAGTTCCAATGAGCACCATGGCATAGTGGTTAGGGGTACAGCCCTTTATAAAAAGACCTTTATGAGAACAGTGGGCTGACTACTTACTGCTTTCTTTATGTAGGTATTTAATCACTCAGTTCTTTCTCTTATTTTTAAATCAGGGTGATATTTACACCTCAGAGTTTTTGAGACAAAAAAAAATAAATAAAATGAAATCCTGCATGGAAAGCACTTCGCACAGTAGCTGGCAAATATTCCGAGTACAAGGGCTGAATAATTGCTACAGCTGTTTCTGCTGCTATTATTAACTCAGCTTACTGTATAATGTAAGATACAGACATGTTTGATGTTCAGCACAGTCTAATAAGAATTATGATATGCATAAGCATGGAGTGTTATGTGAGCACAAACGAAAGGCATTTCACTTAGCCATGAGGAGAAGAGGATATTGTGCTAAGGTTCTGAAGTTGAAGGCTGAATAGGCACAGAAGTTCCATAGGGTGAGAGGTGGGAGAAGCAGAGTTCAAGCTGGTGAGAACAATGTGTACACTGGCATGAGAATGCAAAGAGGTTCAGGAGAGGTGAAGCACACACCGCCTGCAGCACGGGAAACTGCAAACAAAGGCTGAGGCTTGGAAGTCTCCAATGAGATTATTTATGGCATTGTAACTTATGTTAAAGGCTTCATCTTTCCATTAGGTAAATATGGAACTATTTAAAGGAGCTGACATGAAACACAATATGAATGAAGGAATGTGTGAAACACAATGTACATGAATGAAACACAATGTAAATGCATTTTGTATGCAAACCTAAATAAAATTGAAAAAAGAAATAATTTTTTTTTTAAAAAAAAAGAGTGAAGACCACTGGGAAGTAGTAGGGTGCAAGAATTGGACTTTAGAAAAGAAACCCTGGCTGTTGAAGTTAAGGATGGAGGAGAAGGTGAAAATGTTAGAGAATAAAAATCAACTGGAAGGCTTTGTAATATGTCCAGTGCAAAATGCCCATGATCCACTGTGGGACAGGACAGAGGAACAGGAAGAAGAGATCCGAAAGCTCTACTTTCCTTTTCTCCTTTACTTCAAGCTCAAAACACCAATCAATCCAAGTTCTTTATAAACTTTCATTTAAATCACAATTTAAAAAAACACACAACAACCAAACACCCAAACAACACACCAATCACTTCCGGTTTTCTGAGCACCTGTGATGTAATGTGCTAGGTGTTGTTATGTACCATCGAGTAGGAATCAACCCATAGATGACCCTCCAGTGAGTTTTCAGAGGCAGTTAATCTCACGGAAGGAGACTGCCCATCCTTCTCCCGCGGGGCAGCTGGTGGATTTGAACAATGTGCTAGGTAGTGGGGATGAAAAGAGATTACTTGCCCTTGAGGAATTTACACTTTAGAAGACTCAGTCGTACCAAGAGACAATCTTAAAACATTAAGAGAGTGCATTAAGGTCAAGGGAGACAGAAAAATGTTGTGGCAGCTCCAATATATTATTTCGTGGCACTGGCATCTGACACAACTTGGTGTGATGGTCCAGTATGTGGGAAGTGACATCAGGACAATGAAGAGAGGAATGTATACTCTAAGTAGAGAGGCCAGCACAAAGAACCTCAAAGAAGACAAAATATAGCTAGCCAAACAGTAAGATCAGCCATTTGATGTTGCCAAAGCATGAAGTAAAAGAAAAGGAATTATGAAAATGACGTTCCTGATAGTTGGGAGAGGACTTAGAAACCAGTAAAAGACCTTGGACTTTATATGGTAGACAACAGGGAGTTACCCAAGCTGAGAAACGACATGATGGCAGGTGATACTAATCTACCCCTGACATTAGGTCTCAGGACACTAAACATATTTTTCTGTCAATTCCTTTTTTCAACCTGGTCTGTAACAGCTTGACATAGAATTCCATTACTGTTTTACATTCATATTTTAATGGACATTTTACCCACTTCTCAAGAAAAAGACCTGTTTGAATTGCGTGCTTTAGAAGGCTATAATAATTAACGAAAAGGCTTAGTAGAATTTAAGAGTGTTCTAATTTTGAGTCTTAATTTATCTGAACCTTTTTATTAAAGAGACAGCAAAAACATCAGCTACAGAGTTCTATAACATTAAAGCAAATAGCCAATATTCTAAAAGCTTTCAATGGTCTTTACAAACGCTTTAAAACAGCTAATTACCACATGCTGCAGGTAATCACATAAGGACGCTTTCATTTTCACTTCAACTTGGAGAACCAAACTGTTCTCTGACCTTTCTTCCACTTTACATTTCTATTGTCACACATATTTCAACTTCATTAATATAATGTTCAAGGAAGATAGCGGCATTATCATTAACAGACCAAAACTGAAGCATAACTTTGTAACATCATGCCTATTCCAAAGCCTTCTTAAACCATAACCTCTGGATTATTTAAATTTTAAAAAAAGGGAGGATTTGAATGACGTGTGCCAAGTTATACAACAAAATGAAAAGAGACCAACATAGATAAATTTTCATTTAAAAATGAAGGGGTGGGAAATGTTTGACATTTTTAATAAACATAAAAGATTTCCGTCAGTAAAAAATAAGAAGTGTTTGTCATTTACGTCTCACTTGAAACCAAACTGCGTATGCATCTCAGTTCAAATAATCTGAGAACAAAGAAGTCTGTTCTCTTCCATGGAAAGCCCTGTTGTAAACGCACAGCTCTGCACACCACTAATTGATGCAAGGCATGACTATCAATCAAGAAAGGAAACGCTCTAATTTCTACAAGTTTCATAATTTATTTATT